TACTGCTGAGCAGTCAAATAAGACAAAGCACCTTGAAACAGAGGCCATCGGAGACCTTAATAAGACCAGTTTCCAGTGTACAATGGAGATAGAGGTTGAGGATGAGACAGGTGACGAATGGAAATGACAGATTCAGACACCTTTTTTTAGGAGTTTAGCTATGAAGGAGGAGGGAGGGCCCTCAAAAGAGGGATCTGGAAACAATGACATATACTAGGGATGTTGGAAATTTTTAAATGGTGGGGGCTGGGGGGTGGTTGGAGAATTTCTGTTTTCAGATATTTGAAAACGATGCAAGTCAAAAAGATGCTTTGTTTTTTATCTTTAGAGGGATGAACTAGAACCAACATTTACAGAGAAATGGTTTTGACTGAACATTAGAAAACATCTTGACATGTCTAGCAGCTGAATAAATTTTAGTTGCCTCATGAGAAGTTTGCCTCCTGTGACAAAAGTGGAAAACGAGACTGGAAAGTCAGTGTTTCAGCCCACTTCCAACCCAGTTCTTGAATGTGACTCTTGTATTGACTTAGGGTTGAGACTAGATGGACCTCCTGCTCCCACTGCATTCTCAGGCCTATTGTCACATGAGTGTTTAAGTAGGAGTTCTTAGCCCTTTCTGAAATCTTGAGTATAATAGGACATTACCAATTCTTGGGGTTCCACATCTGCTTGGGCTCTGTAGTGCTTTAACCAACGATGTGTAGAAATTAAAGAGGAAAAGACTGAGGGTTCACAGGAACCTTTAAGTGGGTTTTTTGGTTGTTTATTATGCTTACCACAAGTGTAGATAATTTCACATTTTGCAGTGACTAGTATCTCATTTGGTTCCTTAAATATCACTCTAAATGGATCTGATTAAAAATATGGGTGGGTCTGATTGCCCACCTGCAAACAGGCCAATGGCCACAAAGGTATTGTGTGGAAAATGGAGTACAGTGCTGTGTTCATTATGCTGAGAGAGACACCTTTATGCATTGATGATTACAGCAGCTCGAGGGAATGTAGAATTGCTTGTGGGGATCATCTTTTGTTGTTTTCCTACTTTTTCTTGGAGCCTATTTTTTTTAGAGACAGCATATTTGGAAGTGAGAAGGGTAAGAACAGTAATGAGGCAGGGTCTCCTACGATTTTATATTCATGGAATAAATCAAACTGACATTTTTTCTTATGTATTTAGGAAACTACATTGTGAAAGGAGGAAAAAATAGATCGTTATTAGCAGATAGGTGGGAAAACAACAGTAATGTTAGTTCTTGTGGCCTAAAAATAAGTAATAACTGGGCAGGAAGGAAGAAAGAAGAGCAGAGAAGGGAATGCAGCTTAGAACAATGAGTTTCTACAGAAGCTCTCTGGCGGCCAGGAAAAAAGGCTCTGTACCTTTTGAGTGTCTGTTGAATGCATGGCCCTTCATAAAATTACTATAAGATTTCATCCTATATAAATTTTTAAATTGATTTTTAGGTTGTAGTACAAATATGCTTTCTTATAGATGTGTGAAACAAAAACGTGGGCATATGTAACTAAATTAACCCACAAAATTAATAATGTGAGATTTCTGAGGTCAAGGAAGTTGGCACAAAAGCCTATTCTCAGAGATGGCATATCTTGATCTTTAGTTTAATGATGTATTTCTCTCTGACCTCAGGAAAAACCTGTGTTAAATTGCTAAAAATATTCTATACCCTTTCAACATCTTCATACTTGGTTGTTGAAACATGTAAAGACTCAACTGAATAAAAATACAAGCTTTGAAAATTAATTTTGCTCACCAGTCATATCATCCCCAGGAATTTACTGGAGAAATAAAGAAATAAATTTGAAAATGTCTTTTTTTTTTTTAAATGTCTGAGCTTATTGGTTACTCTTAGAAAATCTCATTTTTGACTGGACTCAGAGGTAGAAGCTCTCAGAGAGGATGCCCTACATCTCTCAGCATTCTGTTCCTGGCACTTTTCTTTGGTCTCCTTCATTCTCTTACCTAAAAGTTTAGTGTATTCTATGGCCTCTTCTTTATTTTTCTTAGTACACTTTCTTCAGAACAACACACTGACATTTGTGTTGCAGAACACGTAGAGTAACACGATGCTGAATAATGGGGGCTTTGGTCCTAGTTTTCTTTCCTTCTTTGCTTAAGGACTTCCTCACAACACAGTGGCGGACATCATCTCCTTTAGACAGAGATTGAAAAGTCTTCGGGTTCTGCCAGCTCCTTTGGGCCCCAGGCAATGAGGCACAGAAGTGAGACCAAGAATTTCTTTCTCTCTCTTTTTTTTTCACAATGACCAAGTTGAGAACACTCAGATTGGCATCCACACGCAACCCCAAACAGATTTGTGCTTTCTTTCTCCAGTCCTCCTTGATCTGTAACGGGAATGCCTCTTACTCAGTAGCAGGCAGACACAGCCATGGGTCAGGACACCCTGCTTCATAGGGAAACCTTTTTTGTTGTTCTCACCACTGATTCAAACCACATAACCCTACCATTCTTCACCCAGAGTGTCAGCAGCAACTTCTATGGCCATACACGTCTCATAATAGGTACGAAGTTTGTGTTCATCGTCCACTTCAATGAGTCCTGGCAGCCAATGTCTGGGAAAGAGATGTTCAGCTTCATCCTGAAGCAGTCGACTGCCTCCGAGGGGCCACAAAAAGGAGGATATTTGTCTTGCCTTTAAGTAACATCATTGATAATAGCCTACATATCTAACTGCAAAAGAATGATTAGGTAAATTATGATACATCAACTCGATATGTCATAATTGTGCTTCCATTAAATGAAAATTATGAGAAGATTAAAGCAAAATGGGAAGATACTGCTGTGCTGCTTAGAAAAGTAGGAAATGAATATATTTTCAGTAGATGCAGAAAATTCATGTGTCTAGGGGAAAAGACAGGAAAGGAGACAAGTCTAGAGTGGTGGGTTGCAACTGAAGGTACAATTCCCTATTGTAAAGCCATTTGGCATAAATAAAAACTAGTTTTTAAAAATGTATTCGGCTTTGAATTGGGCATTTTGCCAAGGAATAGTTTGGAGCATGAGACAGTGGGGTGACAGTTCTGATGTGTCTAGGGGAAGTATAGGCCTCTGCCCCCATATTGTGCCGACAGGGGAGCAGAGCTCCACTTCAGCACCAGACCAGCTCCAGGCATATCCCAGCACCCATGGGAGCCCTGGGGTACATCGAGGACATGCTGAGAGGGAGAGCTGCTTCAAGTCCACTTCCTTAAAGACCCCTACACAGGATCCCTGACTATCAGGTCCTCTCAATAGCTACGTGTTTGAGGTCAGCCCGGTTCTTAGGATTTCACAGCAGAACGTACTCTTGAGATGATACATTAACGATCTCTTCCACAGCTCCATTCAGACAAGTCCCGCCCTCATCAAATTTGTTTTCCTTTTCAGAACTCTTGAGAACAGACACTTGGACTCTCCTCTGTGGGTGTCCTTAGAGTTGCAGACATCAGGCATCTCCTACTGGCTAACTGAGACTTCCTAGTTGCCACCTCTTATGTCTTGTGTCTCAAATGGAGCTTGCCTGCCGATTGTCTCACACACCTACCTTCTCATGGGCTCCCATGTTAACCAGCTTCAGTGTCTCTCTGCTGTTCACTTAGGTGGGAAGTCCTGGCACCATTTCTATCCTGTCCTCCAGCTGCCATCTGTCTGCCTCGGCACTGTCTCACACCCATACTTTGCTACATTTACACAGTCACTGTCCCAGTAGGTCCCTAGTCTTGGCCTTCCAGCTCTGTCTCTGTAGGGCAGTGTTAACCTCCCCATGGAGACTTCCTCAGAAACTTGAGTCTGACTCCCCGTTCCTGAGATAGCAGACAAGGACGCCTTAGTTGGAGCGCTTAGGGTCTTCTGCTATCAGGTTCCAACTTGCCTTCCATGCTCCATCTACTCTTTACTCTCCTGTAAAGCTCTGGGAGCTGGGCTTTCTGGATTGTTTACATTTTAAAAATTATTCTCTGTTGCTATATACAAAATAACAAGGGCATGGTGCTACATTCTGTGTGGGAATTAGGCACCAATTGTCTTATTTAACAAAGTTCATCCTATTGGGGAGATAGGGAGCTGCTTTTTAAAAGGTACTTGCTTAAAGCATTACTGCTAAGTAAAACAGGACAAAACGAAACAAAAGAGCCCTATCTATGACAGTAGGTTGTTTCCATCTGCACATGGCTGAAATACCATTTAGAGACAGAGAAAGGGGTAGGGGTGGGGAGTGGGTGGGCACCTTACAGCTTGATATTAACCAGTGAGGAGGTGGACAAGGACAATGGGTGGTTGTTAAGAGTTTCTGTTTTCTTTATATCCTTTATTCTCAAGTTACAACCTCCCCCTCATTCAGTTCCTTTTTTAAAAAATGTGATACTTAGTTTTTTGTTTTTTCGTATGCCTCTGCAAAGACATTATCCAAGCTTCTTTTTCCCCAGTCACGACAAAAGGTACACAATTGTGTTTTTGAGTTTTTGAGAGGCCTGGCTACTGTAACTATCCAATAAAGGCATAACCAAGAATTGAGCTTTCACATTCTGAAAATAAAAATGTGAAAGGAAATGTCATCTGATTCATGTATCTGCCCTATAGAGATGTCTTTCTTTATTCTATCCAAGAATTTCTTTAATAGTTCTATCAAGAAAACAATATTTTGATTCTGAAAAGTGGAATTATGTTTTAATAATGTTATAAGGTATCTAGCATGTCCCACTTCATTACAATTAACTTTCTGTCTGCCCTGTTCCAAAGAGGAGTAGAAAGAGAATTTTTTCCAACATGTTCAAGAGAATAGATATGAAAGGAATAAAAGAATTTAAATGTTTTAGTACGTGTATAAAAGACAATGTTTGCATCATAAAGTTATTTTCTAAATCCATTCGGGTATTTTCGATGTAATTCTTTAAGCAGTCAGATCTTTTAAATGTGTTTGAGAAACAAAATAGTCACAATTTAGGAATAATTTATTGAAAATACATGTTATTCCTCCACACAGTTGAACAATCTGTCCAAAGCAGTCCACGTGGGACTTTGCCTGTGCAGCTCTGAGTGGGAATCAGTACTTTCTTTGTTCGTCACTATGGAAACAAGTCAGCCTATCCTGAATGGCCTTTAGATCATGCAGAATGATGCTCATATCTCAATATAAGTTCATCACAGAGCAAGCTGGCACTGACATCTCCTTGCCTCCAGCTCTTCTGGGAGCCCAGAGTCATGCAGGAGCCACCCAGACGACTCTCGGCCGTCCCCTTCCTCAGCAACTTCTTCCAGGGCCGCCGGCACTCTGCCGCAGACCCCATCCTGCAGCTGCCACAAAGGCAGTGCTGCTCTGCCACTAAGATGCTTTCATCCTCCTCTCTCCAGGTGATGGTGGCGGTGTCCTCTGTCAGCTGTGCCAGGAGAAACCCAACTTGCCCCAAGAGAAAAAGTAAAGTTCCTTTTCTTCTTAAAGATTGCCACACCTTTGAGTTTAAATTTTAGGAATATGAAGAGGCTGTGCTGTGTTATACCTTTTTAAATCTTGACAATTCTACATTATAGTTTTTATTGTCTGTTGTTTCAGTGGTTATGTAGTAGGAGATAAAATGATTGAATATTTTATGTTTTTCATTGAAAATATACTTTTTGAACAAACCTCATCCCCTTATAAAAGATCTACTTTGATAATTTCCTCCTCTTCGTGACCAATATGATATGTGGAAACAATGTATGAAAGTGTTTTCTATGGTAAGAGATAGTGCACTTAGATGCAGTTTAAATGGTTTTAATCCTGACAAAATGAAGAGTTAGCACCGGTTTTTCATCTGCAATCCTGAGATAAAATGGAAGCTGTTTCCCCGGTCACTCTTGTGTATGGAGAGTGGAATTTTGAATCTTCCCTACCTTGTATGTTCTAGGAAATTCAGGACGTCCAACACCAAAGTATACAAAAGTCGGAGAGCGTTTACGGCATGTCATTCCTGGACACATGGCCTGCTCCATGGCATGTGGGGGCAGAGCATGCAAGTATGAAAATCCAGCCCGCTGGAGTGAGCAGGAGCAGGCCATTAAGGGGGTCTACTCATCCTGGTGAGTGACTGTCAGTCTGTGGTAGGTCTCACCTGCTGCTAAGTAGGAAAAGAGGATGAAGATGTATGTGGTGCCTGGAGGCAGTAGCTGTGGAAGAGGGAATGTGGGGCTTTGAAGTTGTGACCTCAACTCCTATCCCTGGCCTTGCCACTTAATGAACTGTGTCCTACTCATACAAGCATTCTGAACCTTAATTTTCTCATCTGTGAAATGATAATAATAAAACCAACTCCATGGGGTCTTTTTCTAGTTAAGTGAAATAATGTATGTAAATACCTTAAAGAAATGGTAACTGGATAGCTCTTAAATTTCAGAAATTGCTGGAAATAATATAAAAATGTGCTATAAATTTGAGAAATTATGAGGTATGTATGTAGTTTTCAGTTTCATACAGGTTAGCTTTAGCCTTGTTTTAATTGGTTCCCATATTCTGTATGAAAGGCCCCATTTTCACACAAATGCACTTCCACTCTGTCTCAGTCGGAGTGCTACAAATTGCTGGTTCAGTGGACAATATAAGATGCTTGCATTGTTTATGGTATGTAAGTGTAATTCACTCATTATTGAGTTATACTGCTTTTTATTATTAATAGTAAACTGACATATTTTTTATGTAGTGATATCTGAAAAGTTCTGATAATTATACCAAATCCCATTTGAAACACACTTAAGAGGAATTCAGTGTTTAAAGAATTCTAATGGTGAATCATTTTATATAGCCAGAATTTACAGATTAGATATTTGTCAACCATCTTCTCTAACTTACAACCTGTACCTTTTCATATTGGATTTGCTGGTGATATAGTCAGGGGTCCACTGTCCCTGTTGTCCTCAGATCGTATTCTAGTCTATCACTGTCTTTCTTAAAGAATGTTTGAGAAAGCAAACACTTTTCCTAAGGTGTGGTCAGATAAGTAAATTTCTAATAATGTAGCTTAAGGCCACATTAATATTTTTTATTTATTGCTAACTAAACCATCTGAGTCTTTTTCATCTCTGCTGCTTTCATGTTACATCTCTCCTCATCTCATACTAAGTACCATAAAATTTTGGGGGTCCCAAACCTTTGGGGTCCCTGTTGAATTTCAGGCATTACCCCAAGGGGAAGGGTGGTATCTTTTTGGATTCTGCTCTGTTCATTTAATGTCACTGTTACTTCTCTCGGGTTCATGTTACTCACAATTTCTGATAGACTGCCCAATGTATCTTTTACAAAAATATTGATGAGAAATTGGACCAAAATGGAGTGAAGCCAAAGCCCTAATGAGGGACAGCCATTTGCTGGATCTGTCCATTCAAACATTCAGTAAACATCCATTTGGCTACAGGCCAGGCACTGTGCTAGACACTTTCAAGTTATTTCATCTTCATAAATTCTTGTGAAGTAAGCATTAGTAATGACATTTTATTGATGATATGATGTGCTACACAAATAGCATTTGAAACCAAGTCCAACTGACTCTGAAGCTCCTATTTTTGGCTAACTTGCAATAACTCAGCATTTATTCATAAATGCTGGAGGATTTTTGCTAAAGACTTTACATCCATGTCATATTGAATTCTCACACCAACCCTACAAGGCAGGTGTTATTATCCTCATTTAACACATAGGAAGCTGAGCCTTAGATAACTCAGGAACTAGAAATGGTCCTCCTCATTTGGTTATTGACCTTTGGATAACTAATCTAGACTGTCACCTTTGCTGCCAACTGAGGTTTCCCTATCACATTCACTAGAATCTCAAGAGAGTCTTTGAAAACGCTTTGTTGCAGTCCGTAAATACACACACATGCCCTGGAATTCTTTCCAGGGATTTAAGCAGCTAAGATTTCTCAGAGCCCTAATCATAATGCAAAATTGAAGCTAGATTTATATAAGGAGATTATTATCACACAGAGTTGTCGACATCATAGAAAATGTAGGAGCCTAATACCTTGCTCGCTTAGTTCTTAGAGCTGGAACATTCTAGGTTTCGTGCATCTCACCAGTCCTTCCTCCAATCTGTAGGGTCACTGATAACATCCTGGCCATGGCTCGCCCATCCACTGAGCTCCTCGAGAAGTACCACGTCATTGAGCAGTTCCAGAGGTAAATGCCACATTGTTCACACACTTTAATAAGCTAACTCGTCTCTTTCGTTGCTTTTAACTTCAATGAAAAGGTGTTTTCATCCATAAAGAGCTTATTTCAAATAAGAAATTAAGATTTTGAGAATAATTAACAATGTTTTTTAATGCCAAAAGTGGTTACTTTTTTTTAATGCTGCTCCCAATATGACAAATTTTTTTCTCTTTCCTTTTAAGCCATGGCTTAAAAACAATCATCAACCTGCAGCGGCCTGGTGAACATGCCAGCTGTGGGAACCCTCTAGAACAAGAAAGTGGTTTCACCTATCTTCCTGAAGCCTTCATGGAAGCTGGCAGTAAGTCCTTCCACCCTCCTCTGCATGAGTTACCAGGGACAGCACTCAGAGACTTTTCTCTGCTCAGCTCTCAGATTAAAAAGGTGATAGAAATAAATCCTCACTGCATGGTAGTAGGGCTCCTAAAGCATGAAGATGGGCTAACTTTGGCTGTAAAAAATGCTACCATTCTTCTGTGCTATTGCTGTTGAAAATGTAAGCTTTCTTTTTCTTTGAGAGGAGTCTTAGGAAGAGACCCTGTAGAAACAAAGGTAACATTTGATCAGTGCCCGCATTAATTAACATTAACAGTATTCCAGGACCTGTCATCTCGTTTCATCCTTAAAGCAGTCAAGCAATATAGTTATTGTTTCTGCTTCACAAATGAGACCACGCAGACTTAGCAAGTTTTAATTTGCCCAAGATCACACAGCTTCACCACGGCAACAGGATCGGAACCCAGGACTCACTGATGCTTTTGCTGCTGCACAGTTTTGTTCCTGGGTAGGATGCAGGGATTCTTTAAGTGACAGTTCCAGAAGCTCCTTAGTCACGGGAACTTTGGGTAGAATCACACTAGGCTAGAAAGGATCAAAGCCATTGCAATTTTGGAACTTGATTTTAAGAAGCTCGTGTCTACCTATTTTTTTCCCACTAGGTGGAAAATTTGTATGTACCATCTTATGCCATTTATCAATCATTTAGATACATTTCTATGCAGGATTGTATGCTTTCCCTTCATAGTGAGGTGTTTTGGCATATGTTATTGACTTTATGATTTGCAGTCCTGCTTTTCCATAATTCT